CTTCTGATAGTAATAATATTGAATGCACATTTGATAGTGATAATATTGAATGCACATCTGATATTGATAATATTGAATGCACATCTGATATGATGATATTGAAATCACATGTGATAGTGATGATATTGAATGCACATCTGATAGTGATAATATTGAATGCACATCTGATATGACAATATTGAATGCACTTCTGATAGTGATAATATTGAATGCACTTCTGATAGTGACAATATTGAATGCACTTCTGATAGTGATAATATTGAATGCACAACTGATAGTGATAATATTGAATAAACATCTGATAGTGATAATATTGAATGCACTTCTGATAGTGATAATATTGAAATCACATGTGATAGTGATAATATTGAATGCATATCTGATGGTGATAATATTGAATGCACATCTGATATGATAATATTGAAATCACTGAATATGATAATATTGAATGCACATCTGATATGATAATATTGAATGCACTTCTGATAGTAATAATATTGAATGCACTTCTGATAGTGATAACATTGAATGCACATCTGATAGTAATAATATTGAATGCACATCTGATAGTGATAATATTGAATACACATCTGATAGTGATAATATTGAATACACATCTGATAGTGATAATTGTGAATGCACTTCTGATAGTGATAATATTGAATGCACTTCTGATAGAGATAATATTGAAATCACATGTGATAGTAATAATATTGAATGCACATCTGATAGTGATAATATTGAATGCACATCTGATAGTGATAATATTGAAATCACATGTGATAGTGATAATATTGAATGCACATCTGATAGTGATAATATTGAATGCACATCTGATAGTGATAATAAAGAATGTACAACTAATAGTGATGGTATTGAATGCACTTCTGATAGTGACAATATTGAATGCACTTCTGATAGTGACAATATTGAATGCACATCTGATAGTGATAATTTTGAATGCACATCTGATAGTGATAATATTGAATGCATTTCTGATAGTAATAATATTGAATCCACTTCTGATAGTGATAATATTGAATTTACTTCTGATAGTAATAATAATGAATCCACATCTGATAGTGATGATATTGAATGCACATCTGATAGTGACAATATTGAATGCACATCTGATATTGATAATATTGAATGCACTTCTTAGAGTAATAATATTGAATGCACTTCTGATAATGATACTATTGAATGCACTTCTCATAGTGATAATATTGAATGCACATCTGATAGTAATAATATTGAAATCACATCTGATAGTGATAATATTGAATGCACTTCTGATAGTGATAATATTGAATGCACATCTGATAGTGATAATATTGAATGCACATCTGATAGTGATAATATTGAATGCACTTCTGATAGTGATAATATAGAATGCACTTCTAATAGTGATAATATTGAATGCACTTCTAATAGTGATAATATAGAATCAGATCTGATAGTGATAATATTGAAAGCAAATTTGATAGTGATAATATTGAATGCAATCTGATAGTGATAATATTGAATGCACTTCTGATAGTGATAATATAGAATCAGATCTGATAGTGATAATATTGTAAGCAAATTTGATAGTGATAATATTGAATGTAATCTGATAGTGATAATATTGAACGCACATCTGATACTGATAATATTGAATGCACTTCTGATAGTGATAATATTGAATGCACTTCTGATAGTAATAATATTGAAATCACATCTGATAGTGATAATATTGAATGCACATCTGCTAGTGATACTATTGAATGCACTTCTAATAGTGATAATATTGAATGCAATCTGATAGTGATAATATTGAATGCAAATTTGATAGTGATAATATTGAATGCAATCTGATAGTGATAATATTGAACGCACATCTGATACTGATATATTGAATGCACATCTGATACTGATAATATTGAATGCACATCTGATAGTGATAATATTGGATGCACATCTTATAGTGATAATTTTGGATGCACATCTT